TCGCCTTGTTCTTCCGAACTCTCTTGGGACGCTTCGGCGGGAGCGCTGCTACAATTCCTCAATCACTCGAGGATGCTGCTGCAGCGTGGAGATTGACTGTTTCTTCATAAATCACGACATTGTTATGTGCCGGTCATTGATAGCCCTGCTTAGCCACATAATGCGGTTGGGACTGCCGTTCGTTTGCGGCCTTGTCATCCGTTTAGATGACCAAGTTCGCACGATCCAGGATGGCCTGGAATGAGGCGTAATCGTACTCGTTGCCGAGTGCGGTTCGCAGTCCTGCGCACGATCGCGAGAAGAACTCGGATCGTCGGTTAGGAAAACTCAAATCGAAGCCTGGTGTGGTCACTATCTTTTGCCACTTTGTTGTCCAGTCTTGAGTTGACATACTCCCTTGTGAGCAGGTGTACACTTCGTTCATGACCGCTTTCACGACGTTGCGGACCATGAAGCGAGTGAACCACAGTTGCTCGAACTCCTTCCACGTGATGTGCGTGTGGAGTTCGGCGATGGTGCATTTCTTGGTAGCCGCYAGATGGTTCATCCATGCCTRCGCTCCTCCAATYARTTGTAAGTAGAGCGCCTTCATCATGTCGTCAGCCGGGACARTGCGGCAKGATGCTYCCGKGAGGAAACGTTGCCACCATGTCAAGGCGTCCGTCTTGTTGTAGTCATCGAACTTGCTGATGTCGAAGTGCGGCATCTTGTAAGTCTTTGTAGCGGCGTCCGGTCTTGTCTGCAGGTTGGTGATGCTCGTCTTGATGGCGGCCACCGCGCTGATGATCGTGGCCGGACTAGTGAAATCACCTAGTTCGCCAATGATAGTGACGACGTGATCGATGCGCTCGTTGAGCTGCTTCGTCGCGTCTGTCGTGCAGCCTGGCGCTGCTGAGGCCTTAGCCTCGATGTTGTTGACGCGTGTGGTGATGGTGCTCAACAGTTGTTGCTGTTGTTGCTGATGTGTGGCGGTCGCGCGAACAACAGTTGTTAAGGCTGCAGAATCATTCTGCTGAATCTGTCGCAGATGTCTGCCCTCATGTATTTGCACCATTAACATCGTATTGGTTCACATGACCGCTCACATCATATTCAACATCAGGTTAGCCAGGTTGCTCCTTTCTTCCTCCACCGGTGTCGGATCCGCCTGTGTATCCGAAGGCACAAACAGCATGCCTTGGAGCAGTGTCGTCCACTGACTCTCATTCACAGTCAGGGACTCCATGCTAACGGCGTTCCGCTTGTCTCGCACCACGACGTCAGCCTCATCAGTCTGCTGAGCTTGGGATGCCGCCTCACTGGCCAGCCGCTGACGTTCCGCCTCTGCTGCCTCCTGTTGTGCCTTTGCGGTAGCTACGGCATCCGTGAATGCCTGTACCCGCTGACGATAAGCCGCCAAAGGCTCGCTGGCCCCTTGGACCGGGCATGCGCGAAGAACTCCGGTGGTAACCGGTACTGTCATTGCTGTACTCGATGCCGCTGGAGTCTTTCGCTTGCTGAGTCGCTGTTGATGAACCTTGGTTCGTGGAGGTACCACAAAGCGGGCACGAACTGCAAGCCTGGCATTGCGTCGTGGCAGTGCCCCGGTGTCGTGTTCCATCGACATCAGTGTGAACTGATGGGGTACTTGAAAGGTCCTGGTGGTCACAGAGTACGGGGAGGGTAGGGAGAGTGGGAACAGGGGTAGAACAGTCAAACAATTCGCATACAGTCCCATGTCCCAATGATGGACGTTAGACACCTAATCAAGATAGAAAATTTAAATTTCCCCCAACAACTCAAAAATTCGTAATAAGAAAATAACAACGAATTATTTGATCAATAAAATTAATTAATGATTAATAACGAAATAATAATTCTTAATGATAATCAATAAAACAATATTTGCAATAATGATAATGAACGAATTTGAATTGTATAAGATTAGGTATCCGTTGAGATCAATTATGGTCCGGGAGTTCACCGTTAATTAGTGAACTACCCGGAAGTTGCAATTCTGAGGGTCAAATTCGGATTAGTTTGCCAAAAAAAAAAATTCGAAAAAATCAAAAGAAAAACACTCGAATTTTCAAAAACGTGAAATTTCAGGAATTTCCGCCGGCAAAATCCGATTTTTAAAGCCCTAAGTCCGTTTCCGGAATTTCTCAAACAAGGGAGAGAGAAAAAAAATTCGCGAAAATTTCGGAGTCCAACCCTAATTTTCCGCGATTCCGCGGAATTTCCGGATTTACGGTTCCAAAACATTTGAATTTCCCAAGTTGATCGAAAACCAAAAATTTTCGTAACCCTAATTCCTAATACTGAAATAAAACGGAAATACTGATTTAGAAAAATGAAATACAGGATTTAAAACAGAATGTCGAATGAAAAACGGAATACCGAAAGAACATCAGAAATCCGAATTCAACAAAATGCTGGTTTAACCCTAATAACGAATTTTAATCAGAAAGCCGAATTAAAACAGAATGTCCGATTAATCATAATACACTTAATCGGAATCAAAATAAACAGCATACCGGATGAAAACAAAAATCCGAAGTGAAAGTCCGAATACCGAATTGAAACGGAAATGCCGATTTAAACAGAATACCGAAAAAAGAAAAAAAAATTGCACCTTTGAATCTCGATAGTAATACAGAGCTGATTGGGAAGATCGAAGAAGCAATCTATTCCTAATCAGACTTACCTTTGTGAGCAGATCCGTTAAATGGTCTGCTCCGATACCAAAACTGTTACATACTCGGGAAAGTATCCACGAGTATGGGGCAGAACCAAAGATCAACCAATATAGGAAGAGCATGTATGCAGCGGAAGTCTGATAAACGGACTGACTCACATAGACTGACTCACACAGATATCACTCCACACACATACAATCGTGAGATGGTGGGGTCTGGGCCAAGCATAGACGATGCCCAGATCCCGTACACACATACACAGATGAGAAGTGGGAGGAGAGACGAAGGAGGTGGGAGATGTAGGTAGCACCAGATGTCACCGAGATAGAAAACCAGTAGGTCACCGATATGGTAATCCAAAATGTCATCGAACAAGATCAAATGTCGCGGACAATAAGTCACCAATGTCGGAGATACAGAGTCCTAATGTAACCGGTGTCCAATCTGTGATGCAGCCGAGTATCATCCCCAACAATCTCCAAGTCTCGAACCCGGTAAGTACCACAGCCTCTTACCACCGAAGTCCAACACTTATCTCTGTCCAACTAGTATCAAGTATCCAGTCTAAAGAAGAAGAAAAGGAGGTCTGAAGAAGAAGAAGAAGAAGAAGTATGAAGAAGAAGAAGAAGAAGTTTGAAGCAGAAGAAGAAGAAGAAGAAGAAGAAGAAGAAGAAGAAGAAGGAAGTCGAGGAGGAGAGAGAGAGAGAGGGGACTGGCGACGGGAGGGAGGAGAGAACCCCCGGGTCCCGATACCTCAGGCGGCTATGGCCGCCGATCTGCTCAATCGCCGCCGCTGCTGCTCCGCTCGCTCCCGCTGTTGCGATACCGCTGCCGCCGCTGCTCCTCGTGCTCCTGCGCTAAGAATAGCGCTAGCGCTCTGGCGCTATACCATAACGTACCGCTAGAGTGTCGGTGGCTCGATGTCGAAGTGAGGCTGGACCGGTACTTTTGTACCGGTGGGGCAGAGGCCGACCTCTATGCTGCAAGGCCTGGCCGTGCCCTGAACCGTCAAGATTGACGGTTCAGCCCCAACCGGCGGGCGGCAGCCTCAAGAGCGCCGCCAGGCCCAAACGGTAATGTCGTTTGGGCCTGCCTGTCGGGTCTGGTCCAAAATGAGGCCTCACCCCAAGGTCGGACCTTTAGGCCCTGCTGTGTCCCTCTGGCCCTAAGTCGGGTCCGGTAGGGCCCGTGTGGTGTCAAAGATGTAACAATGCAACACAATGCCAAACGAGGGTGGATCTGCCGTACGAGATCCTGTTGGAGGGAGAGGATACCTATGATGGGCTGGAGGATGAGCTCTCTGAGCTCATTTTTCTCGGCAGCAGGACGCGAGCGATAAAGCCCGAGCGATCGAGGTTTTTTGTGATTGCGTTGGGTTGGTGCAGCGAATTAAAGATAAGTTCTCTGATCTTTTGGCGACAAGACAGGCGCGTGACTCGCCAAGCGCCGAGATACAGACAACAACAATATCTCCAGCATCTTTTACAATATCAACAACAACATTGATGTCATCAACTATGGCATCCACGACGATGACATCATCTTCTGCAGCAGCAAGGTGATTACACACTGCGAGTCCTGTTCAGCAATGGGGGCTGCTTGAGCAGGCTGATGAGGCAAGGGGGCAGGAAGTGGGGCCGCCCTCTTGTGCCGAATGCGCGGATCGTCCAAGCTTCAACGCGCTTACAAACTGTGGAGGCAGGGGCCTTGAGGAGGGGTGGGGCCTGTGCGCCGAGATTGACGAAAGTGCATATAAGGATGACAATCAAGACACTGTGGTCGGCCTTAGTGAGTGTGTCCTCGCTGTTGATGATTTTATAATTGTCAAGGGACGCTGGACCCGATTTCCAGCAGGTGTTGCTCCCCACCAATAGATGGAGCCTCCCCAGGCATGCTAGTGGTGTTTGCTCTTATCAACATCACTAGCATTCACCTGCGTTGTTAAAAAAAAAAAAAAAAAAAAAAAAAAAAAGAGAAAAAAAAAGGGAAAACAAAAGATAGAAGAGAAACAAAAAAAGAAAAAAGAAAACAAAGAATTCGTGACCCATAACTAAGCTGCACAGACTGCCACAGACCTGAATTCGAATCCATACTATATATTCTCGGGCCACAAAGGGAGTCTCCAAGTCTCTGCTCCACGAAGGGTCCTTACAAATCCGTAGGGACCCTTCGGAAATGAGACTAGACGACTAGATTGCAGCATTTGTAAATGCACCCACATGCACACACATGTGCTCACAGTCTTGGGGTATAGGGTGACCCTTACTTTTTTTCCCTCTTGCAGTTTGAATTTTGGGAGGGAGGGGCATGTTTGGCCACGCCACCCTGTTAGTAAGGGTCAAATTTATTTATTTTTTCTTGTTTTAGTGTTTGGGCGTGTAGGGCCACGTGTCCGAGGCCCAACGCGCCGGTTTTGTTTTTCAAAATTCAATGGAACACCCCCGTTTTCGTGTTAAACGCGATTTAACGGGGCCCCCCAGATCCGTTGAACGGGTTCAACGACGTTGAATTTCGCCCGTTCTCCGTTCATAGGAGACACATACCATGGTTGTGATGCAGGCTCAGCCTCCCTGCCTATATTCGATGACGACTTGCAGCAGTGCATGGTAGCTCTCGCAGGATGTGTTTGCCATAGCATGGTTGTCATGTGGCTAGCGATGAGAAACATGGAGAGGGTCATGAATGCCAAAAGGAGGATTTGGGTGTTGGAGTGGAGCGGGGGGGTTTGGCAGAACCTGGAGCGTGTGGGGCACGGTCATGACAACTTGAAGGTGTTCGTGAGATTTTGCAGGCTGCCACGTTCACTATTTCATGACGTGCTTCAACGCATCGCTCCTCACATGCAGCACGCGACAACAAATCTGAAACTTCCTTTGCAGGTGGAGCATAAATTTGCATGTGCCCTCATCGGGTGGGCGACTGGCGGTTACTACAGGCAGTCCGGTCATGGGTTGGGGATGGGTCTTATGAGCACGCTGCGAAGCAACAAGGATGTGACCAAAGCTATCGTTAGGGAGTACCCTCACGCCATCTCCTTTCCGCAGGGACGACGTCTAGTACTTCATGAATCACTATGGAAAGGATTCACTCAATGTGTAGGTGCTATTGATTGCACTCATTTGTACATCCAAAAACCTAGGAATGAGCATGCAGAGTGCTACTACGATCACACTAGACAATTCTCAATTGTTGTGCAAGTCGTTTTTTTTTTGTTTTTTTTTTTTTTAAGGTCCTTGTGCAAGGCCTCTATCCTGGTGGTGGTAAGAGAATTACCGGGATTGAGGCTTTGCTTGGTGGGCCGCTCCATCTATTGGTGGGGAGCCACACCTACTGGAAACCGGGTCCAGCGTCCCTTAAATACATCTTAACAAACCAGTACATCAGAAAGTGACCCCATTGTGTTGGAAACCGGGTCCAGCGTCGCATATCCAATCTACTCTTCCATACCAAAACCTCAGCAGGGTCGGGTATTGGGGGGAGAAACCCCGGGGGGGCACCAGTGGAGTCTCCCTCCCTCCCCTAACCTTTGCCATCCATCTACTATCCTCATGGCGCCTAATGTGTCTTGCACTCTGTCATAACATGCGTATGAGAAGGGCTGAGATAACAGGCTGAAATGTGCTGCACAGACCTCAACTAAAATCTTCTTATTCATAAAGCTTTTTTCCTCAATGAGAGTGACGCTACTGTGCTGGAAACCGGGTCCAGCGTCCCATACGTGATCTATGTGTCCAATTCCAACTCCTGCTGGAAACCGGGTCCAGCGTCCCCTACCTGATCTATGTGTCCAAACCATTTCTGCATTCCAGTCTCGACCTGCAGCAGCGCCCCTCCCCTGTCATCCTCCAACTGTCCTCAGAGCGCCTGTTTTAGTTATCAGAGGCGTCTGAGACTGCTTGAGGAATAATGTTGGTGGGAAATAATTGATGCCTTATGGAGGGGGAAAGACTTCTTCTAAGGCCAAGGGGTGAGGGGGGGAGGGGTCTGCAAACTCTCGAGCGGGGCGTAACCTATCGCCAGGATCTATGTTGGTCCAGTCGTGGAAGATCAGCTGATAGTCTCTTGTCGTCTTTGCCTGATGTTCTTCAGGCCGTTGTCCTTCCTGCTGACGATCCCCAGACCAACTTATCTCAGTCACCCACCCTCCTCTCATCCCTCCCAGCTAGTCTTGACTGAATCGGGAGATAATCCGAGTGATATCTCCCCGGGAATGCATTTGGTCAAGTTTATCCCTGACTGCCTTCAACTGAGCTGCAATTTCATGTTGGATTAACAAATGTAATTGTTCCATGACTTCTGCTTCATCCACCCGCACCCCTTCAACTTCCAATATGCATCTTTTCCACCAGATGGCCCAGAGAACAGTCCGCCTGCCTAAATGAAACATGTTCTCCTCGAATTTGTTTCCCCGGATCGGGGGGTAGTGACCTAGTAATATAGCCCTCCATTCCCAAGGCCATTCTGCATTGCAAGTCGTATGCGACCATGCGTGTCGAATTTCCGACGTTTACGTCTCTAGCCCGGGATCTGTCCATGACTCTCGCGTGCTGTGACTGTCCCGTCTTTGCGTTAAAGGTGAGAGCGGCGTGGGTGTGTTTTTCGGGAAACCTACTTTGTTGCGGGATTGCATGCCTATTGCACTGTACTTGTTGGGAGATGTCAACTTTTCTTTGCTCGACTTGGTGGCGACTCCCCATAGCACGCGCAGGGATTGCACGCATGAGCAGGTCACATTCGATGATTGGCACTGAATGGTGAGGAATGTCATTGAGCGGCCCTTGAGCAGTGCATGTGTCAACACCCAACAACCACGGGCGACGAACTTGACACCGACGACATCCCCGCCCGCTCAAGATTGTCGAAGCAAACCCACCGTCCCAGCTTCCGGAGGCAACGTGCATACCATCGCCGACTTTCGACAAAGGGCGACTGAGAAAAATTGATGGGATGAAAGCCAGCACCTTCCCGCACAGTCTACCCTCGCAAAGGCTGTAAATATTTGCCGGTTTTGACTTGTGTGAATGTGTCTGCCACGCCTTGTTTGTAACACAATGCCTAGCCTGCCGATCACCGACCACGGACCTTCGTTTCAAAGCCCCCCCCGCAATGCGAGTGCAGCGTTCACAAACGACCCATACATGGCTATGGAGGGTGACCTTCCTCACACTGAGCATGGGAACAGTGGAAGAAGGAAAAAATCGGGCTTTGCATGCAGCCAGCCTACGTGTTTGTTGCATAGCGGCCCCACAACTACAAACGGAAATTCAAAATCACAAGGGCGTTGGGGCACGGGAGAAATTGAAAACCGAAATGACGCGAACCTCCCATCTCACACAACGACACGGTACCGGGTTAGCAGTCAACGTGCGACAACACCTCTTGTCTGGCCTTCGGCCTGCTGGACTGAACTAAAGACCGCTACATGTCTGCTTTGCAGGCTGCCAATTTTTGTCCGCATGCACCGGAGTACACACCTTGGAGGTAGGTAAGGGGTGGACCCCACAGGGAAAAGACTGGAAAAATCCACGTCCCTGGAAGTCCGAGGTGGAGAGCGTAGAAACTTTTTCCCTGAAAAAAATGGGACCCCACCGCACAACCACTTTTCCAGCAATCCGGCGGTGTTTTTTTCCAGGATTTGGACCACTTCTACCGTTTTGCCTGTCGTCCGACTTCGAGCGTGGCAGGTGTGGACCTGCAGGGTGGTCGTCCATCCGGAGCCTCTAATGGGCCGTGACTGGCGGACATCATGTGGATCTTTTACAGTCTTCCAACTTCGGAAAACACACGGGGATGGGCCCCCCCTACCCCCTGCCTTTGTTACAAATTTCCGGCAGATTTGCGAAATGTGGGCACTTGGTCAGAATTGTCACCTGGTGCTTTTTTTTTTTTTTTTTTAATGGGAACAAGGCTCCAATCTATTCGTGGGGAGCAACACGTGCTAGGAACCAGACCCAGCGTCCCATATGAAAATTTACAGGGAATTTTGAAAATTTGAGATATCGGGGCCATTACCCGACTTTTAGCTTAAGAAAATTAGAGCTACGTAGAAAATTCCTACAACAAGCTTCAGAAATAGGCGAAAGTCAGAAAATGACTTAGAATCCCCCATCCATCCTCTTTTACCTCACTCCGACAAGACTTACTGCAGCAGAGTCACCATCCCCGCTGCTGTTGTGCCCTATTTCCATCCTACGAGCTAGCCCCCTCACTAGTAGGACGCTTGATATCCCACCATCTACTTCTCCCACACACCTTTTTTTTGAAAATTCTCAGAAAAAAACAGCCTATGGTCTACCCAACCACAGTCCAAACCTGGAAACAAAAGATCCTAACTGAAACCTCCCACTGTTTACACCTCCCCTTCAACAAGCGAAAGACGTTAGGTCCAAGTGTTTAGTCCTCGTACCAGAACTCGACTGAGCTCATACCCCCCTATGCTAGGTTTACAGAGCAACACAAAGTTCCCCAGTACCAACCAGCCTGATTCAGACGGTAAAGAGTGCCTTCCTCCCTCGACACTCCCGATTAGCCACACGCCCATAAGTTACAGGGAAAAACCCTCGGCATCAGCTACGTCAGACAACCTGGTTATGTCTTTCTACCTCGACATAACTCACCAGACCTCTTGCTCCCCCAGGTTACAGATCAAAAGCTCCAGCACCGGCCTGCGTTATCCCAACATTGTCCTTCTGACCTACTGACTTAGACAAACATCCCTTCCCCTGTTGAACCCCCCTTACTACCTCTCATCTTCCAATTCTAACCCTCTCCTTCCCCCCTGACATTCTATCCACAATCTCCTTCGGTTGAAAAACCCCTTACTAGACAATTACCAAAAATGAGCGTCCATCTTTTTTTTTTGAAACCCACCAGAAAATTCCATACCAGCACCCCCTATTCTCACAGGGAGAGGGGAAGAGAGGGAAAAGCACAACCCTCTCTCCCCATGGAGACTTCAGCGCCTATTGAGGTCTCAGATACTTATAAAAGGGGTCACAAAAGCCAAAGGGATTACTCCCTTCCCCCAAAAAACAACCCCCTGTTTGTTTACTGCCTCCGCGGAAAGGCGCCCCCTCACCTCCCCGCCCCAGTTCAAAACAGCCCCCAAAATACCCCTCCTGCTCCCTCAGTCGCATACAATTCCCCCTAGCGTATGCCCCGCACAGCAAATGATCCCCCTACCTTCCTGCCCCACCATGTCCAAGCGGAACAACCCTCTCAACTCTCACCCTGCTGACATCAGCACCCCTTGTCCTCTCTCCCCAACCGCCATAGTTGATCCCGAAAATCAGTGTGGCCCAAAAAAGGACAAACCCTCAATACCGCCCCTACCCTGTAACCCTCACAGGGAGGGACTCCAACCCTAAGGGAGATATCCACTCCAGCACCTCTGACCCCGTTCTCACAACATCGCAGATTGAGACTCCTTTGCTAAAAGACTAATTGCCTGAGTAAGAACTGATTGAAAAAACCTACATCGCAAAAACTTTTTAGAGTCATGCCAACGAAATTTGAATCATGAATTTAGTATTGAATTCAAAAAATTCATCGCTCAGACAGTAAATCAGGAATCAAAAGAAGTTTGAATCATGAATTTCGCATCAAATTCAAAAAATCAATTGAGGTTGAAAATACGCTTTGATAAGATTTGAAAATAAAAAATAGGGAAACTAAATAGGGAATCGATTTTGATGTTCGGACGAACTTACGACTCTCTGATTTTCAGAACCCAAGGTTCAAGAAATCGCTCAGACAGTAAATCAGGAGTAATCAATTGTGTACGAGAGAAGTCATAACGATTATAAAAACAGATCGCGAAATCGACGAGAAAAATTATGAACTACCGATTAGGATCAACACAATTAGGTCATGCCTCAATCTTGATTATCAAACCTCAGAATAGGAATTATTAGTTATATTTTCGTTGCATACCTAAAAATTCAAGGATAGAAAAACTAATAGGTATTAAACGAAACCAAACTATCTATGAGTCACATCGTTAAGAATCTCATCAGGGTCATCGCAGGATCACCACTACAAAACAGGGAGAGGAAGAACACAACTTACCATACTTGCAAGCGTACGTCGTCGGCGCGTTCCCCCACGTCTGCCGGACCGCCGGACCGGACCCGTGCGGCGTACGGGTGTACGGCCGACGAAGAAATACCCCCCMCCCCCCCCCCAAAAAAAAAGGGCGGGACTCGAAACGGCAGGTGCGAGGCCCCTACTGAAAAATGCGGCTGTTGCTGCCAAAAAAATTTTTGGGTCTGCGCTCGAGCCCGGACCGCCTTGGGGTTCCGAAATTCGAAACCCCCCTGGAGGCAGTTTCCAGTGTTTCCCACCTCCTCCAGTTCGATTTCCCGCCTCGCCGTCGCCGCCATTCCATCGTGGTTCCCGCCGTCGCCGTCCGCCACCCTGCAGCGCCCATCGCCACCTTGCCTGTCGTCGTCGAGGAGGTGCACACTACGGCCATC